GGGATTGAGGAGTATTATGTTTAGTATACATGGTGTGAGGGGTCACGGGGAAGACAGTATAGCACAGAGAAGGCAAATAGTGACTCTGTGGCATCTTACTACACTGATGGACAGTGAACTGCATTGGGGTATGGGTGGGGACTTGATAATATGGATAAATGTAGTAACCACATTGCTTTTTCATGTGAAACCTTCATAAGAGTATATATCGATAATCTTAATTAAAAAAAATCATCTGGGCAAGTACGCATCAGGGGAGGAGCCCACACTCGCCTTACACACTCAGGCCACGTCTGCAGCACCTACCTCCTGGTATCGGCATCCCTGAGCAAGCACCCTCTTGCCTCTGAGACCAGTACCAAGGCCTCAGGGGGGAATGAGGCCGCCGCCCCCTACCCCTGCCCTCAAGCTGCCCACCAACTACTGGATGAACATGATCACTGCAGGCATCTTGGTTTACCGTTACAACTGGGTAATAAACACTTTGAGGAAGGCTCAGTCAAAATCAATCCAGAGATTAAGAGAAACCCTTTGTCAAGGGAACCTAGAAAGCATGCACTCCAAACAACTAGATGGCTTCCTAAGGGCCAAAGCATCAGGTAACATTAAGTGACCCACAAAGAAAAGAGTCCCTTTAATCTCTTCTGATTCCCTGCAAGACAGAGTCTCAGCGTGATGCCGATAACCTGGACACCTAACACTAAAGGGAATTCCGACCCAAGGCAGTACGTTCCCGACACAATGCTATTTATCTAGCATTTAGGGGCTTTGCTTTTGTTCTGACTGTATTTAGTCCTGCCACCACCTTTTATGTACAGTAGGCAATCTGGTTTACCTATTGTGTGGTGGTCAAATTTAAGTCTAAAATAAATGAGTTTTGTTTTTTTCAAGAGTGAGTTGCTTTAAATAAAAATATTCAGTGAACCATTAAACAAGCAAGACTTGGGAACGGCAAAAATAATGAATGTGAATGACACCAGTTTGGTAAAAGCTGCCTTAGGGAGAATGTCTTGTGGGAGGACCCGGGCTACTGGGGTGAGGGGTGGGATTTCAACAGGCAGAAGTGGGAATGTGGAGGGCAACAGCATCAGCCAAGACCCATTTAAGAAAGGCAGCGTTCGGGTAAGTGAGGGTAGGCAGTACGGAGGAGGGGCCCGAAGGCAGATGAGTCAGAAGCAGCAGCGTGGAGGGGTTGACCGCGTGACTGCTCGCTTGTAAGAGGCGGGTGGGTTTTACTGCAGAGGTCCCAACCACCAGGGAGGTGAGCTTGCCCCAGAGAGGATCACACACGAAACACGGGTGCAGGTCAGCACCCCAATCTTAGGCGACATGCCTTGATGTCTAGCTCCTTTTAATAAGAATTGCGCCTATCTTTTCAGGTTTATATAAGCCAGAAGGACATGCGAGCTTGATTGTTCCAGTGAGGATTTTTCAGTAAGCTGTGGGTTTTGGGAAGTCAAGGCAAGTGAGAGCAAAAGACAGGCCTACTTCTGCCGCAGGGGCTTTCCTGATGCTTATCACATCTGGCTGGCCTCCTGCTCTGCTGGAAAGGAGAATTCAGCCAAGTTCATGGGCAAGAGCACGGGGTGCGGCTGGAAGGAGGGCTCTTCCTGCAGTGAAGAGCCCTGATACTTCCCTGGGATGACCTGCCAGACACTGGATAGCGCCCACCCATCCCAGTGCAGAGGCAGCCTTAAACCCAGCTGCCACCCTGGCAGGGTTTCCAACCTGCAGAAGCACCATGGATGCCTCCCTTTTCTGTCATGGGACCAAAAGTACAGCATTATTTTCAGTGAGCTGGCCCAGCCACCCCCCCACACACACACCCCGCACCCCCCACCCCTGCAAAGGGCAACCACACCAAGGTCATTTTCACTCGCCTAATTTGCAAAACCAAACAGCTGGTTTGCGGAGGGGTT